TCGCGTCCGCGGGCCGCCGGTCGGTCGCGGCTGGCGCCTTGGCTGGCGCCGTCAAGGCCGTTATGCAGGCGTCCGCGCCGCTGCTCAGCCAATCCCTGCGCGGCATCGCCTCGATGCAGCGCCGCTTCCTCGGCGGCTGGGTTCTCGGCGGCGTCGTCCTGACCGCCTCGTACCAGGGCCAGCTGCTCAGCAAGCTGACGGTCGGCGAGCGCGCCGAGGACATCGACTCGGTGGACGAGCTCGCCAGCAGCAGGCTGCCCATCCTCATGCACAGCCCGGCCTACGCGGACCACTTCCAGCTGGACCACTTCGAGCTGGCCAACAGGGTCAGGTACACGGCGGACTCGGGCATGACCGTGGTCGACATCATCAAGCGCATCGCGGAGGCGCGCAACGCGTCCACGTTCGTGAGAGCAGTGTCCCTGGCGGAGGCGGCCACTCCGCCAGACGGTGTCCACTTGTTCTCGCTGCCCATGGAGCAGTCCATGACGTACTACTCCGTGGCGTGCGGCTCCAGGCTGCACAGGCGCTTGAAGAGGTTCCTGGGGCGCCGTCGCGCCGCGGGGTTCGACGAAAGGTGGCCGAGGGTGCACGCGACGGCGTCCGCGCTGAAGATGGGTGCACTGCCCTCCAGGAAGCCCTCGCCACTCAAGGTGGTGAACGTCTGGCCCGTGTTCCACATCCTCTTCTTGGGCTGTGGCACCGCCGGTCTCGTCTTTGGCCTGGAGCTGCTGATGAGAAGATCATGCCATTTCCGCGTCCCGCTGCCCCCCGCACTCTGAGCACGTCACTGACTTTTTGCTCAACTTGTCAGAACTTATGCAAGTAATTTGTGCAATCATACCACGTACTTCTCATTTCGTAAATTAGTTATACTTTGTCATAGTCATGCAACAAATTTTTATTGCAGATTTTCAGTATTCATTACTGCAAAATATATACAGTGCACTGTCAACATCTTATGATCGTTTTTATACGTATTACGATGGTTTTTCATCACGCATGAATATGCACATACGTAATATGCTTAATTTTTCATCGTATTACGCATGAATTGCATCGCATTACGCATGAATTTTATTGTAGTACGTATGTTCTCATTTCAACGTATGTTACGATGGCCCTTTTATCATAAGAATCTGAGGGTGTGGTTATTGCAGTTTGACGGTGCAGTGTTGAACTTTACTTCGAATGTAAATGTGACATGGGTTCACTATTGAAAGCCGATGAAACATAAACAAAAAAAATGAAGTCATTTGTAGAATTGCTTCGTATTATGAAGAAATGACTCGTATTGCGAAGGATTTTGCTTCATAATATGAAGCATTCACTCTTAAAACCTTGCAAAGAAAAGTTCTTTGCAGTACGAAGTGTTCTCCGGTATCCCTTGCGAACTTATTTCTTCGCATTGCAACAAAGTATAGTTCGTAAGTTGCGAAGAAAAAAGTTCGCAACGTTGCAAAGCATTTTCTTTGCACGTTGCAAAGTAATACTTCGCTATGCAAAGAAAATAGTTTGTAAGAGAGTTAGCCAAACAATGCCGGAGAATTCTGAGCAAGGTTTCTTGAGTGTTTCTTCGTAGATTTAGCAATGCCTTTATTTTTTTTACGAAGCGATTCTTCGTAGAGTTTTTACTGTGTACGACTATATCGACGACAGGTAGGCAGCGTAAATTTACGGTAACATACGAACAATTTAAGTGCATCACACACTGTCAGAAAACTCCGTAAAAATACGGAAATTTAACGGAGACTGTCCATTTTTTTTAACGGAGATCTCCGTTTTTTTGAATTATGGATTTTCTCCGTAAAAATATGGAAGTTATGTATGTAAATGAAATAGAAGCCTTACTTATCAAAAAGAACAGACTAATTCACGTTATCGATGGGTTGGGTGACCAACTGATTAGGTGCTCCAAGAGTGCGCCTTCCCTAAAGCGACCTCGCCTTTGGGTTTCCGTCCATTTATCCGATCCAAATGGCATGTGGTCAAGTGGATCTTCAAACAGTTTTGGAGAAAATCACTTTCGTCTAAAAGGACACTGTTTGCATTAACATCGAAGGTGGAAGGAGGGAAGTAAACCGTTAAAATGCGTTTATTTCTGAAAAAATGCGGTTCATCTCCGCAAAAATACGGAGAATCTCCGTAAAAATATGGAAAATTTACGGAGCCTCCATTCCCAAAATTAGAGTAACTTTCTCCGTAAATTTACGGACTTTTTTTCTGACAGTGCAGATCAAGACGCAGAAAAGAACCGACCGACAAAATCACCTACGCCTTTTCCGAAGTACTGAACAATGACACCTAACACACACGCTTTGCAGTACACAGTGGGCTGAGATTCGCATAACCGACATTTAATCCAGTTTTTCAAAGTTATTTTTTGCATCGGATTTGTACGAGATGGTGTTCGAAAAGGTTCAGTCTTCAAGAAAATGAACATACCAGCTAAATACACTAGCCGTATCACAGTGAAAATGGCACCTGAAAACTTTGTATTTTGAGGCTTTTGACGTTCCGCTTGTGGATCATAAAAATGACACCAATGCCGAAACGATTTTCGGCCAGCCACGTCGACGTATTTTTCGTCCCGGTTTTCAACGTGACCTCTTGTTTAGGTATCACACTCAACATGTGGACATTAACTAGACTCAATTTTTCCTCGGTGGCATGTGTTCACACCTATTTTAGAAACTAGTTAAATCTGCGAATTTAAGGTTTTTTCTTAATATTGAACTTGAGTTCCAAAACGACTCCTACTTGTTCCGACGGAGATCTCTACGCTTAAAGGTACATTGGTCCCTCCTCTAGTAGGGCCAACTTCAATCAAAGGCTCATCGAGGCTCCAACGGGAATGCGACGCGTCTAACCCCACCACTTTTTACATAAATTCACAGATTCTGTCCTTATATTTGTTCATAATCGAATATTTTTGCGTATTTCATCGGTGTTCATGGCATTGGAAGCCTTTTGCTTTCAATCTTCATTGTTTTCATGTAAAATCTGACGGTTTTTAAGAATTTGTTTCAAAAATAATTTTGAGTCAAAATTTATGTTTTTTTACGTTTTTTGTTAATTTTGATTTTAGAAGTACCCTGTTAGGTCTGCTTTCCTATTTTTGACCTGGACTCTGTTTTCAAATGGGAACTGATGGCAAAAAATAACTTTTTGAACACTTTTTGTCACCATGGCAAGATACACTACCCTGTACACTAAAATACGTTAGCAGATCGATAGAGCGTCTTAAGACGAATCGATCGGTACTAAATTGATAGCAAAAGTGCAACCCAGTCGGTCACAATCGAATTAAATGTCAGATTTTGCTTCGCCAGCCCACTGAGCAGTGGTGCGGCGTGCATCTCAAAAATAGTTCGCGGGACTTCAGACTTTCGCTAGGTCGACCTAATGCGACATTCATAAACGCTAACGCAGCATCTGCTTTGTAATTACGAAGAAAATGAAGGCACTGCAGAATTGCTTCGTAGCATTTCTTCGAAGATTTCACAATGGCTTCGGTTTTTTTTTCGCATTTCGAAGCGATACGAAACAAAAAGCATTCTCACTGCAGATTACTTGACGACTAGTAGGTAGACAGGCTGCTTTACATTCCGCACATAGGGCACCTACGCGCAAGTCTTTTATTCTTCCGACGTGAGGACTTAAGGTGACAAACCTGCACATTAACTCAAAAAACACTCATCATTATTCCAGGCGCATTGACTTTTTCAGTCCAAACGAATAGGGATTGCTTGTGACATCCTGAATCGAAGGCTCAGGACGCCTCGGCCGTAGTCCCAGTTGGGGGTGAGGCTACTTTTTGGCCCGCAGGAAAACAACTTGTGCCACTGAAGTTCTGAGTTCCGAAGAAAAAGGGATAAATATAATTGACGAGTTGCCTTTGTTGTTTTATTTCTTCAGTGCTCACAAGACACAGACAGACACTCTTAAAACACCATTCACAACAGTAAGATACATAGTATACAACAGGTATCCACTCTGAAAATAATCTGCACTGCAACAAGTAGACTTAAAACAAGAAGGCCATGCTATTGATTCTAACCACTGCGTCTTATAAAATAAAGGGTGGGCTCAAAACTTTCTACACCACGACTTGCATGTAAATCGAAACGGTAATACTTGGATGTATCCGCAGTGTTCGAATTCGAGACCACACTGTGATGCAATCAGCCTGAATCACTGCACACGGAAAAAAGTGTAGTTAAGGGTAAGGTTGGGGAAGAAAATTACAGGGTAAGAAAAGTACAACCCTTGTGGAGCTGATATTTTGACTTTTAGCCATCCCTCGACTAGTGATTTCAACTTAACATGAAAATCTGAGTGTGACGACACTTTTGAGATGTCATGGACTGGAACAGTAGGCCACAAGAGGGGTGTACTTTTTTACCCCTCACTTTTCTTCCCCATCCTATCCCTACAGCAACTAGGATTTTGGTGCCAAATGCCTAACAGTCTTATCGAAAAGGAACCAACCAGGGGTATTTAGTTACAAATACTAGACTGTCTAGTTAATCTCTATCCAGTAAAAGTAACCAGATTTTTGGTTGCATTCTCGGAGGCACCGCATTACGAAACTTCAGATCACTAAAATGTTTTGCAAGCGTGATTTAACAGCTACTGCAACAGGTCAAATATCTACTAGTTTCACTGCAAAGACAATGGTGATCTACTTATACAGTACAATATCTATTACAGAGCTGTTAAAGCGATGGTGCTGTCCTTTGCACCAACCAATTTTCCTCCCTGTTCTTCAGCAGCTTACAAACTCAAACACAGGTACAGACAAGGTACAGAAATCTTCGACCCAGACTGAACAACGCTTGAAGTCATAGACGACACCTTACACCTTCATGGTTTTCTTCATTTCTGTGTTTATATGGCCACATAGCAGTCTACCCTGTTGTGATAACTGTGAGTACATTTTGAATTCGGAAACCAACAGGCACCTGCTTAACACCTAATTATGTGGTTTGCAAGTTTAGGAACCTATTCAACGAGAGAAGGGGATTAGAAGCTAGTGCCAGCAAAAGTTCTTTGTATCATCGCTAAGAATGACACCGCCATGCCCGCATGGGGCCTCGGGACAAGTGGATGAGGACGCAAGCTCCATGGAGGCGCTGAAAACGCTGCACTTGTTGAAGAGGTAAGAGGAATCTAAAGAATCACGTGCATGGCGTGAAACTGAAACTCATAATCTGTGCTTTGGTAATCAAGACCAAAACGTTTTCGGAAATAGAGCTCTCATTTTTTGATTTGACCCGCTTCGTGTTAGGATTTCTCCAGCAACAACATCAAGTGCCGCCGGCCCTCTCACCACTCTCCTCGAGCTGTGGCAGCGAATCATTTCGACGAGTGGCAGCCATGGCGTCCTGCAGCGAGTGCTGTATTGGCTGCGGGGAAACAAGGTACACACTGCTAATCCAAGTGTGGACCAGGTCCACGCTAGGTAGCGTGGACCACGATGGTCCACGCTAGGAAACGTTGACCACGAATGGTCCACGCCTCACAGCGTTGAAATCCTCATAGGCCGGTCACACTTCCGGACCATCCGTGGTCAACGCTTGTCGGTGTTATCTCTGCGGAGTAACGCGCGCCACCTTACCTATTGTCTGCTTTTCCTCGTGTGTCGCTCGCAGGTGACGCTTGCGGCGGGTGTACTTTTCTTCTTGTTGGAAATAGTTGATATCGCCATAGCACCATCGATGCAGAGAGCCAAGTTCCCCGTGCGAATTCTCCTCGCCGTTTACTCGTGTGCCTGCGCCCAGTTCACCTTCATACACCGATCTCACCTATTTCAAGAGTCGTTGGAGAGCCTCATCTTTCTCACTGACATTATAGAACGGCATGGAATGCCCGACTCAAAAGTAAGAAAAATTGCACACTAAATGCTTATGAGCTTTTAATACTTAAGAATTGACGTAGTATTTTGGTGCAGATGTAACTTGTTTACAAATATTAAATTGTATGCAAATTTGGAACTCTTTAGTAAATACTTAATCACAATATGTAAACAACGGTACCTGTATATGTTCTACATATGTATTGATTTGTACATATGCACAAATGTGGCAAGAGTTGTGGACAATGAAAGTACATAAACGTTGAAAGTGTGAACTTTAACAGTTCTATCTGCAATAAGCCCTTGGCTTCACTACACTTTGACGCAAACTGGACGAGGGTAAGGGAGAGTGGGGTAATTCCGGACGCTTTTTTTCTTTTTGGTCTTTGAGCTTGAATATGCTTCTTGGGTCAAATGTTATCACAGGAGAGTAAAGTATGGACCTTTACCTTCAAAATGATATACATGAAAGCCAAATCTCAGCAACGGTTAGGGAGATATAGGCGCCTAACAAAAGCCCTGCACGTGTCCGGAATTGCCCCAGCCTGGGGTAATTCCGGACGACCTATGGGGCAATTCCGGACGACCTTTAAATTTGACACTACTCGAGCTTACTTTCGCTTGTTTTGATGTGAGGCATGCTTTTAGAAGGCGTAAAAGGACATTTGCTGCGAACTGAAGTATTTGATTATTACTCAAAGCATATTATAAGGAACAGTTTCTATCAAAATCACTAAATTGACAATACTGTCTTGAGTAAAGCTCTTAAACATAGCTGCAATGCTATTTTTCCTTCTTTCTTTATCCTTCTTAACGGTGGAGATGCATGTCCACAATTATGAACCCACCACCTAAACATTATGCGGGAAATTGAAGAAAATAACCCCTCTTGTCCGGATTTACCCTACAGGTAGTGAAAACCTTTGATGTTCAATTGTAAGAAAATGGCGAGCCATACGAGCACTCCCGAAACGCCAAAGTAAAGTCCAATGACCATATAATATGATAAAATTTTAGTCCTGGGACTGAACTTGACGGTAAGGTGCGATAAGTACATGGATATACGAGGGAAAGATGCAGCTTTTGCCTATTTTTGATGGTACTCAAATTTCGTGAAGCGACCACAGCCAAACGGTTTGACCTGCTACCTTAGCGATTTGGAATTATCATTTTTAACTGATTATCTTCCTCTGTTAGGCGGGCTTTTGAGTTATCTTCACTCAAACCCAGTGAAAATCGAAGTGTCCGGAATTACCCCGTGTCCGGAATTACCCCACTCTCCCTTAGCTCAATTTACGCGGGCTAAGCCTGCACTTTCACACTGTTATTGCATAATTGGTAATGAAAAAGTTATTGCATTATAAATGCCATAAATATTGTACTGAATTATCACATTAATGTGATAATCTGGCCCAAAACGTTAACAAAATAAGTTTTTTGACACGATAATTTTTCATTGCGGCCACAGATGCGGTTATCTGAGGGAATCACATAAGCCTTTCTATCACTGCTAGTTGTATGGAACTTATCACATTAGAAATATCAGTGTTCCGATGATCCGAGTCGCACCGTTCTGGATTCAAACTGCTTGCCTTAAGGGGGCAATACACTGAAAATGGCCAAACACTGACTTGTGCGATTGCTTCTATACGCGTTGTTGAGCGTTGTTCAAACTTTTCACGTGTCAAGACCTTACAAAATGAAGCATTTTAAGCCCAGAATGGCGTCGATCGGACGTCAGGGAGCGGAGCAGCGCCCAATGGGTCATTCCATGCCAACTCGACAGGGCTCGGACCGACACCTTGTCGGAGGCCATCGCCATAGTGGGCGATTGTTGGCCTTATGGTACCATTTGAAGACCCCAACTCAGTTTTTCGAAATCTGCACCGGGCTCCGAACTACGGCCTGATGAAGTTTTTCACATATACATGACGACATGGGTGCACTAAAATGCAATTATCTCGGCAACTGTTCGTCGTATCTCAAATCCGAGACCACCGTTGGAAAGAGGAGAAAAAACTACACAAAAAAAATTTTTTTTGGATTTTTTTCGAAAAAAAATGTGAAACTTCAAAAAAGGTGTAACTTTGACAGTGTGATATCTCAAAAACCCATATTTTAAAATCTCTCAAAAAATTCCAAAATCTTCCTTTATTTATCATCTAAAAGAAAAGCTCAACCACCCAAAGTATTATTCTTCGTTTGGGAGAACGAGCAATTCGCGTGAACCCCTGCATACCCCTTTTTCCCTATTTTTCCCCTTAAGTGGTGCGCCGGCGTGGCTAGGGCCACCCCTCACACCCTGGCACTGGCGGAGGTGCTGCCCTTCCTCGTGGAATACCGAACCACAAACCGGGTACTTTCAATTATGGTAAAGCGCCTGCCAGGTAGGCAGTGGGAGCCACGCAGCGCAGCCCGGTCTGACGGGCAGGCCTACCTCCCAGGCGCCCTGTTCTCAAAGCTAGGTTTACAGTGTCCGCGTCAGCCAGCACTGTCTAGTTTGTCGTGTCAGAATGGTTCAAGGCTTCTTTAGTTCTTAAAAATGATACAATATTTTTAATACTTTTCTTTAATAAGGATTTCACATACAGTATGACCTCAAATACACTAATTCAAGAAATATTTTGGTCTTCTAATATCAAATATACAAACACTGTTATCATTATGATTATGGTTACAATTTGGACTGCAGCTTAGCAGACGCTGCTTTAGAATCTCTAGCAAGAATCTTCACAGTTTGTCCTTTATTTTGAAACTTGGGACTCACAAGTTTCAAAATGTCTTGTAAGCTCACTGTTAGAATGTCATCTGTAAAATGATAGGCATATGGCTTGCCTGCAGATTCAAGTAATTGCAAACAAAATGTTTCAGTTTGAATATCTGAGTCTGAAACACATCCTAAAGCCCAATGGTCTCCATTACTAAAGGTAACAAAGCCATGCACATCTTCAAACTCCAATTCAAACTCCTTGGTTGATACGTTCCTCACTTCAAAGTAATTTTGGTGGGGGAACCTCCGGATGGCCACCTCTGCTGCTGGGTAGTTTGGTATAACACTGTGGTGAGATTTAATCCCATCTATTTCAAAAGCGGTATCAAACCTTACTTTCAAATCTGCTGCATGCTTTTGAATCTCTTCGGTTGGGACCCATACCACAGTTACGCCTTTAATGTTGGCGTGAACCCATTCATACAAGGTAGGTTTACGCCAGACCGCGTCTTGTCGTAACAGGCTTCGCGATGTCTCGCTGCCTGTTCCTCCAATCCACGCCTGGCGTACCTACCTTGGCCTGCGGCGCTAGCGTGCCTGCGGCAGGCAATGGCTTGTCCGTTGTCGGTTATTTTTTAACTTGTTGAATGCTGGGGGGCTCACTGTTAGGGCCGAGGTTTCATCAGCCCCCTGATGTACAGAACCTGAAGTACAATGTTCATCCCCCTGAGATGCTCGGGCCGTTCAAGTGCTACTCCACGTAGCACCTTCGTTCCTGGATCATGCCATGTCGGTAACATTCATCCCTGCACATGTCAGGGGTCCCGGGCGACGTGGTGGGGGCCTGCTGCAGCCCGCCGCCGGCGGAGTGGGGGTGTTTCCCGCCTCCCCGCGCCCCGCGCACCCCAGCTCCAGTCCCGCTGGCCCGGCAGCGTGTAGTCAACAGCCAAGCCGCCTGCCTACGCATAACGCGTTGGCCTAGTGGTTAGGCGAGTCTCACATCCACCCCAAGGTCTCCGTTCAAAGGTCCCATGCCCATCGTGCCAATCCATTTTCCTCCTTGGTTGAACGAGTTGAAAGAGGTGGGGGAAAGGAGGAGGCGGGGAGGGTATAAAAAGTGGTGAGAAACGCATCATTTCAGCGGTACAAACCTTTTTTTCAAAACCCCTGTGCATTTTTAAATTTTGGTTGGGCCCTATACCACAGTTAGCCTTTAATGGGGGGGTGAACCCACTCTGGAAGGTAGGGGGTCGGCCGCGTCTTGTGCAAAGGTTGCGATGTCTCCTCCTTTTCCCCCAATCCCCCTGGCGTACCACCTGGTCCGCTATCGTGCCTGCGGTTACGTAATCTTGTCCGAATGTCGGTTTTTTCAACTTTGAATGCGGGGGCTCCGCCCCCCAGACCCCCCTTCTCCAAGACAGAAGTGGTCTATCTGCAGAAATCTCTATATTTCGCCGTTTTTTAGGTGTTTTTCGCCTATAAAAACTGAACCAGTTGAGCTAGGATGGTGAAATTTCGCGTGTGCCGAGCCAAGGACATACCTAAGAAGTGTGCAAAATCTCACCGAGATCGGCCGAGCCGTTCAGGAGGAGTAGTGCGGACAGACAGACCGACAGACCGACAGACAGACCGACAGACAGACAGACAGACAAAACTTTTCAACCCCACTGGAGTAACAGGCTTCGCTATCGCTCAGCCAAAAAAAGTGACAAGGGTCAAGATCGTGTTATCTGTAGATAAAACAACTCTATTTACAATGTAGGGGGGTCTGGGGGGAGCCCCCCAGCATTCAACAAGTTAAAAAATAACCGACAACGGACAAGCCATTGCCTGCCGCAGGCAGGCTAGCGCCGCAGGCCAAGGTAGGTACGCCAGGCGTGGATTGGAGGAACAGGCAGCGAGACATCGCGAAGCCTGTTACGACAAGACGCGGTCTGGCGTAAACCTACCTTGTTTAACTTGTTGAATGCTGGGGGGCTCCGCCCCCCAGACCCCCCTACATTCTAAATAGAGTTGTTTTATCTACAGATAACACGATCTTGACCCTTGTCACTTTTTACTTGTCGAGGCTGGGGGCTCCGCCCCCAGACCCCCCTTTCTCCAAGACAGAAGTGGTCTATCTGCAGAAATCTCTATTTTTCGCCGTTTTTTAGGTGTTTTTCGCCTATAAAAACTGAACCAGTTGAGCTAGGATGGTGAAATTTTGCGTGTGCCGAGCCAAGGACATACCCAAAAAGTGTGCAAAATCTCACCCAGATCGGCCGAGCCGTTCAGGAGGAGTAGTGCGGACAGACAGACCGACAGACAGACCGACA